AACACACACACATACGCCCACACCCCCCTCCACAAACACATTCACTCCCACCTTTATCATAGCACCAGAATAACACACACGTACCTCAGCTCACTCCTACAAGACACAGTGTAAAGTTTACGTCTGTGTTCCTTGGCACTGCCCTCGCCTTCTCCTCTGCCTTACCTGTTGGGACTAGATCCAAATGTATGGGGGACAGGTTGTCTATCTGCTCTGTAACGTGTCTCGTCTATCTATCTATCTGTCTATCTATCTATCTATCTATCTATTTATCTATCTATTTATCTATTTATCTGTCTATCTATCTATATGTCCATCTGATCTGTTTATCTAAATATCTGTCTATCTATCTATCTAGCTAACTGGATAGATAGATACGAGATAGCTATCCATCTATTTGTCTGTCTGTCTGTTTGTCTGTCTGTCTCTCTGTCTGTCTGTCTGCCTGCCTGCCTGTCTGTCTGTTTGTCTATTACCTGTTCTAGCTTCTCTGTATCCATCCGTCTATCCTTTTATCCATCTCTTTATCTTCCAGTGGATTTTTTTAGCATACTTCTCTCAAGCTGCATTGTCTCTTGGTAAATGTCCCGTAAACAGTAGCCATGCCGTCGACCTTCGAAATCCTATCGCCTACGCACTTCGTTGTTTAAATAACGTACTGGCAAAGCAACACTTTGGGGCACGCCTCCCAATATTAATGGCCTCTATCTTTGCTGTAACGGGAAGAGAACGGGTTTTTTAAACACGCAAACGTCACTTCTAACGCAGTGTATTTCTCAAAAGGCAGAACCTCCTCTTAACGCCATCTCCTAAAGGACGACGCCGAGTGCAAAAACAGTCACCACAGCTCCTTAATAAACCCACCGCAAAGTTTTAAAACTCTTAGTGTGAGTGATGTTCGAACCCGGCTCGCCTGCAAAACAGCTCAGCCCTATACCAACTGATCCCGATGTATCGTCATCTAAGCAGTATGCAGTATTACGTAACACAATTTTCAACTGGGGAAAAACTGATGTAGTTGAAAGGCCTCTGCTGGGTGAAACTAACCTGAGCAAAGGCAAACTGAGGGCTGGGAAATGCTTACAGTTTAAGACAAGGTTACCTGCCAATTGCTGGGATGTTGTCTGCCAATAGCTGGCATTAGATAAACACAAGTGAATTTGGGGTTGAATCTTGACAATCTGGAAACACGAGACTTTATCGATGTTTGGATACCCAGCTTCCTGTATGCCCCCCTCCCCCTTTCCCTTAACACCCTAAATTTTCTTTGCCTTTGATTTTGGTTGTGTATAGTTTTATCACTAAATGCCAAAATGTTTTGGGGGTTTTGGCAACTGCTGTGATCTACCTGTTAACTGTTATGCTTGAAATGAATATATTGGTGTCTGAAAATTCAGTCAGTTTCTGGAAATATAATACGCCATCTGGCTAACGGGTTTTTTTAATAGGTTCAAAAAGAACTCCCAGCCTCTTTGGGAAAAAAGACACTTCGTCGTTCACGTTGATTTCTGCTGAAATTTATTTGAGTTCTTTTTGTTTGATCATAACTTAAACAACAAGAAAAACAACATTAAAACGTGTGAATATAAGTTTTATGACTTGGTCTAATGGATTTACTTGAGAAAAACATCTACATGTGTACTACGTTTAAGAACTTTCCTCCACGATCACGAAACGAGTGTACTGTTTATACAAGCTGTGTGAACGCACTCCTGTTCTGTCATGTGAACTCACCCCTGTCCTGACACCGTAGCCGCGGGGCATTATGGTAAGGCCAAGAATAAAACAACACAGGCGCGCAATTCCATGATATAATGGGCGCTAGTGCTCACCATTGACATTCCTGGATGCGCCTATTTATAGCAAGAATAACAGGTACCCCCTATCGAGGTGGATCCAAAGTCATCTTCTGGTCGCAATGTTTTGTTTTGGGGGGTTTTTGTGCGCATTTTTGCACACGTAATTATCTCAACGTAAACATTCTTATCTACCCTCCGTCCTTCGCGTTCCTGTATTTATTATAGAAGAAGAAGAAGAAGAAGAAGAAGAAGAAGAAGAAGAAGAAGAAGAAGAAGAAGA